TTAGTAATATTAAATATTTACTTAAGGTTAATAAATATAATAGGAATTACTAAGATATTAAAGGTAAACTTACTTAGATATAAGTATTTTTTTTAATAATCCTTTTATTATAAGATAAGATTTAAGTTGTCTTATTATATTAGCTCTTATCTTATATGAATACTAAGTTTATTTTTTTTCTTTATTATATATTAATTATAACTTTATATTTATTAATTAAATTAACTAGGCTTATTTTATTATATTACTTTTTTTATTATTATCTTTAATATCTTAGGCTACTTTTTATATAAATAATATTATTTAAAGAATTCTTAGATATTATTTTTAATATCTTATAATTATATTAATTACTTATTATTAGTTTAATTTACCTTAAGCTAAGATATATTTTAATATAAGTAAAAAATAAGAATAATTAAATAAAGTAGTAATTAACCTAATAGGCTATAATACTTATTAAGTTTTAATTAATAGTTCTTAATAGAGATTTAAATATATTATTAGTAATTATTATTAAGATTCTAATCTTATAAAACTATATTAATATATTCCTCTTAAGTATATTATAATAAGTATTTCTCTTATTTATAGCCTTATTTAATTTATTAAATATTAAATCCTAAGAAACTTTTAATTAAAAATACTTAAAGAAAATAAAAATAAATTAAAGAGTTATATTTTTAGTTACTAAGACCTTAAAATCTTTTAGCTTATTAATATAACTATTAGGTAATAAGAATATTAGGTTTTATTTCTTAAAGAAATTTAATAAGTATATTATTTTAATTATTACTTTCTATAAGGTATTATAATATCTTTCTTTAGCTTAACCCTAGTACCTTATAATAATCTTATAAAGTAATTTAAGTAGACTTTATATTTCTGCTAATAAAAGCTAATCCTATAATAAAAGCTAATCTTAAATAAGTAGTTATTATTAAGGCTTTAATATTTTTATTTTAAGATATATAATAAAATAATTAATATATTTTTACTTTTAAATAATATATTAGATTATTAAAAAGGTTATATTTTATTTAGTTTTATTATTTTATATTAGCTTAAGGTTAATAATAAGTTACTTCTTTTTAAAAAGTTAATAGCTATTACTTCTTTCTTTATTTTAAATAATTTCTATATAATATTATATATTAATTATTACTTTTATAATATCTTTTTTACTAATAATATATTATATAAATTAAGTATTTAATATAAATATAAATTTAATAGTATTATAAATAAAAGATTAATAATAATAATTTAGTTAATTATTAACTCTTTTACTTTATTAATATTTAATCTTATAATAGGAGACTTTATATAATATTACTTTAAGGATAGGTTAATATTAATATAAGATAAATATAAATCTTTATTTATATTATTATCTATCTTAGTAATTATATAAGACTTATATACTATAAGATAATAAAGAAATAATAAAAATTAGGCTTATATAAATATTATTTATCTTTAAAGGTATTTAATTAATAATATTATATTTATAATAATAAATAATAAGCTTTTATCTTATTTATTATATTTTAAGTATACCTAGTAGGTTTATAATATCTATAAATTAAAACTAACTTCTATAAGAAAAAAGCTATAAGCTTAAATCTAACTCCTTTAACCTTTATAATTCTTATTAGTAATATATTCTTCTAATATATATTTCTTATAGCTAATTTAGATAATTAGGAGGTTAATAAGAGTTATTCTTTTAGCTTTAGTCTTAATAAATATAATATTAAGCTACTACTTAAGTAATTTATATTAATTATTAATTCCTAGAAGTAATTTTAATAATTATTATTATATTACTATAATAGGTTATTAATAAATTATAAAATATAAATACTTCTTATTAGGAAGTAATATTAATTCTAAACTAGGTATTTTTATTATATATATTATAATCCTAGTAGTTATATTATATATACCTTACTAAAACTCTACCTTAGTAACTAATTAAATAAGGACTAATAAGTATAAGAATAATAGTGCTCTAGGACTATATTATTCTAGGACTAATAGAAATCTTATATTATATTACTCTTATATAACTATTATTAATATATAAAATATATTTATTAGTATTTTTATGGAACTTAGCTTACTAGCTATTAATAAGGTATTTTTATATTAATAAGCCTAATATATATTACTTAATTATTAAGAGATATAATACTTTATATTACTTAATATTATACCTTATATTATTTATAAATATAAACCTAATATAAACTAATTTACTTATTTAGAAACCTAATTATTATATATTAATAGCTCTTATTTAGATTATATTATATAATACTAAGTAATACCTATATAATAGTACCTACTACTTTAAGCCGCCCTTTAACTATAGGATATACCTAGTATATTATATCTCTTAAAGAAATATAACCCCTTATAGAGGAACTATAAGAGGTCCTAATAAAAATAAATAAAAAAAAGGAAATAAAAAGCCCTTTTATTTACCTAAGTTTTTATAAAAATAAAGTTAAAAAACTTAAAAAGAAACTTTATAACCTAGGAGAATAATATAATACCCTCTTAGATAATACTAAAAATAATACTAAGATTATATAAAATAAGATTAAGGCTTTAAAAAAAAAATAATTAATTTTACTAAGATTATAGAATTACTTAGGAAGATAGCTAAAAATAGTTAAAAGTTATATAAAAAATATATTAAGTATATCTAAGCTCTTATTATTACTAAAAAAAATCCTAGAGAAATCCTTTAATCTTATTAGCTTAATTTATTTAATAGTAATACTAATAAATTATAAGGATTTCTTATTAGCCTCTAGAGCTACTAGATATATTACCTAATTTAGTTTATAACTAAAGAACTAAGAGTATAATATAATATAGGATTCCTTAAGAATAAGGTATTATAAATAATAAAGCTTATTATTTATAATTATATTAATAATCTACCTAATAAATAATAATAAATAATTAAATATATTTATAAGAAATATAAATACTTTAAGTTTAAACTTAGAAATACTTTTAGAATTATAAATAAAAAATAAATAATAGAAATAAAAATCTAATAACTTAAGCAGAGAGGATTTACTATAGACTATCTTATAAAATACTATTACTAAGTAGTAAGGCTAAACTAAGGCAAAGAAGCTTATATAATATAAGTATACCTAGGACTTAAATTAGAAGTTAAGGATATTATAATAAATATTAGACTTAAACCTAGGAATTTAAATAACCTTACTAATATTACTATAGAAATTAATAATTAGTAATATAAATAATATAAGGAAAAATAAGCCAAGAAGTAAGGAGGATTAT